TCTGTAACCAAATCCCTCTCTCTCTCTCTGTCTCTTTTAGGGGGGTTTCTCTATGCAGGGGGACGGCAGAGTTCCTCTCCCGTGCCAGCACTGCTGCTGCTGCTAGTCTGACAGTGCTGATTGCCTGCTCTAGGCTCGGCATTGGACGCTGCATGACCACATGTTCCTGTGCTGTCACCAACCAAAAGACAAACACAGAGCTGCTGCTGCTGCTGCTCTCTTCGGGACAAGGCAGAGACCAGCCTGCAGCGTTTAGGAGATTTGTTTAGCCTACTCTGACAAGACGGGGGTGTGAGAGACATTAATAACCATACTGATAGTAGTCAACATACATCCAAGGGGTGGGAAATGAAGGAGCAGCAGTTGGTGGACTGAACATGATCCTGAGCATTCATACTAGGTTTCCTGATTGGTTTGTGAATTCACACTGTGAATGTTTCCAACCCTGCATGTACACTTCTTGTCTACATACACACAACTAAGGTTGTTGTTGTTGTTGTTGTTGTTGTTGTTGCTCTTCTCAGCTGTCTGTTGCCCTGTGAAATGATAGTGGAGACAGGCGGGCTCAAGTTGACAGGCGACTGAAAACCAACAATATATGAGTTACATGTAGACATGAAAGGACGCATTTAAATAGAATCACCACACACTTGTGTAATTAGCCAATTACACACTAGCTTAAAGATTTTCTTTGCTAAGTAGAAAAAAAGGGGAAGCTATTATGAAGACATGGCTTTGTTTATAAGTACGCAAGCTGCTGGATATAACCTAACCTATTAACCAAAATGCCCTGTTTATTTGGTATTTTCTTATCTAAAATAAAACAAAAGATCTCGGGACAAACTGTGACTTACAGGCTAATTAGCACTGACCACCAGAATGAGGCTCCTGCCTGTCTCTACTGATATTCAGCATCTTTTTAAAGTGCGCAAGTGCGAGTCGGTCCAACTGGAGGTTTGGCCTGGTCTGAATAAACGTATTTTTGGCCGAAATTAATTTTGAAATCGCTTGTGACATAAATATACGTAATAATTCGAGATTTAGTTCATTCTGGGTGTAATTTTAACAGACGAGAGAGAAGTAAATCAGCAAATTAGAGGCGAGTAGTGAGACCTATTTTGAGAGGCGGAGCTCATCTCTCCTACAGTCGGTGAGGCGCGTTCGTAATGAAAGGAGCGCGTGAGCAGCGCTTGCTGTGACTTCCTCGCTCATCGGCAGCTACATTGTGTGGAAAGCAGCACGTTGTTGGCTTCTGCACGCTGAACTTTACAACGAATTAACGTTCTCCTGTTCAAGGAGAAACCAGATTCAAAGCTACCAGCTATTTTCTCAGACGTCTGTAAGTTACCCCAGCTTGCGAAAACATGTCGGCCTCGGCGGCAAAAGTGAGTAAAAAGGAGCTGAACTCGAACCATGACGGAGCGGACGAAACCTCCGGTAAGGGGAATGGCGGCCTCCTGTTCACCGCCATTTTCACTTTCTTCTCTAACATAATTTGCATTGCCACTGGGTGCAGTATTGTTAATAATTGTGTGAATTGCTTTGATTTTGCCCAGCGGCCCGGGACCCACTCTGTGGCTGGCCACAGGAGTTGCTGCGTGTATTCACATTTCGAGAACAGCAGTTAGCTCAGCAGCTAACGCGTTTCTTAGCATGCCGCTACTTCAGCCCGCTGTTGTTCAGTCCACACCGGTGCTGAGAGGCCATGTTAGCTGCTGGAGTTAGCATTATCAGCGTGGTCAGTTGTGTCGTTGGCTACTGGCTGAGTGGCCATATGCGATGCTGGGGCACCATTGTTCTGTGTGCTGTTTGTAAAATTCACTTTTAATCAGCCAATTAATGTTTACACTGCTATTCTGGTGTTTAATAACCGAAAAAAGTTGGCAATTTCATTTGGGCATTAGCAGTTAGCCAGCTAGTGTTGTTGTTGTAATGTTACCTAACGCTAGCTGACGACGTTATGTTTTATTACAGGTCAAACTGCATTTAAATCCTCCAGCCCCGCAATCACTTAAACTAGGTAATTATTATATTTAGACAACTTGATCCAGGACTCGGCAGTATGAGCAGCGGTCTGATAGTTAAGGGGGTATGTTCTGGCATCTGTCCTGGCTCGGTGTCTCACGTTATCGCGGCTCTATGTGTGCAGTCAGATGTCCCACATTTAAACCACGCGGCCTTCTCGGTAGCAGCCGGCAGGAAACGGTGAGTGTCTGAGCCGCTAGAGCTGCAGCTATTGGCCGCTCACATTACCCTAACCTCCGGGAGAGCCACGCTGTTAATCTGCAAGATAACCTCACAGCTATCGTTGCCTACCGCGCACTAACGATACATTAGTTATTGTAAACACCGAAACTAGGCAGTAGCCAAATAGCCCTCTTAGACCTCAGTCGTTCTCGCAATTTCAGTGAACTTAGTTGCGGCTCTAAAAAGTGCCGCGCAGTGATAGTAAATTGAGTTGGATTTATGTACGCACGCATGGATTTGTGTACGGACAGTAATAAATACAATTTTAATTAACAATATTCAAGATCCCAGTCCTGGCGGTTGATGCACATAACTTGTGTCCTACACGTGTAGTAATGCTTGTGTTTCCTTTTTTTTTTCCCCCCACAGAGAAAGAGCAGCAAGAAGCTATTGAACACATTGACGAAGTTCAAAATGAAATTGACAGGTATTAAACATTTGTCTAATTATTGTAAATTAGACATGTCACACTGTGTTTGTTAGGGTTGAGATTTTCTTCCCAGCAGGAACATTGAAGCAGTGATTAGTACATCCCTTAAAGGAAGAGAAACTAGCTTGTGAAAATGAATGCTGTAATCTGTGTTTGGCATGAAAACCTGCAGAATCTCAGCCCTCCATGGTGCACTGTTTGACAACCCTGTGCCTGAGTAAATATGGTGATTGACCACATACAGAACTGAAAGTATTAAAGTACAAAAAATGCAGCCAATTGACATAAACAGTCAAAACTGATTTTTTTTTAATTATTTTTTTTTCTTTTCTCTCTCTCCCATTCAGGTTGAATGAGCAAGCCAGTGAGGAGATCCTCAAAGTAGAACAGAAATACAACAAACTTCGTCAGCCATTCTTTCAGAAGAGGTCAGAACTGATCGCCAAAATCCCCAACTTCTGGGTCACCACATTTGTCAACCATCCACAAGGTGAGCTATTCAATGAGGTTTTTATTGCCATACCGTCTTACAGAAATGGTTAAACCACAATAAAGATTTGTATGATTTGGGACAGTGACTTAAGTTAAAGTATGGCCTTTATCATCTGTTTCCCACACAGTATCTGCCCTACTGGGAGAGGAAGATGAAGAAGCACTTCATTACCTGAGCCGAGTGGAGGTGACAGAGTTTGAAGACATCAAGTCAGGCTACAGAATAGATTTTGTAAGTATTGTAATGTTGCACACACACAAGACAACATATGTGTTTGTTCTTTGTCTTCTTACCTGGGTCCATTTAATCCTTTTAGTATTTCGACGAAAATCCGTACTTCGAAAACAAAGTACTTTCCAAAGAGTTCCATTTGAATGAGAGCGGAGATCCATCTTCAAAGTCAACAGAAATCAAATGGAAATCAGGAAAGGTAAGTGTATCTTTACTATAGGGGTGGGAAGGCTTGAGGTAGTTCTTTCTAATTTCAACCAGTTAAGTAGCATTCTTTCAGAATCTTTTTTTTCTGTTCTTCTTTCCTGAAGCTGCTATGCTAGCTTTGCGTTTTTAACTAAGAAACGGCAATATTAAGCCAGCTTGAAGAAGTTCTCATTTCTTTGTTTTTCTCCACGTTTTTGTAGGACCTGACCAAACGCTCCAGCCAGACACAGAACAAAGCAGGACGGAAGAGGCAACATGAAGAGCCAGAGAGCTTCTTCACTTGGTTCACTGATCACGCTGACGCTGGTGCTGATGAGCTCGGGGAGGTCATCAAGGACGACATCTGGCCAAACCCTTTGCAGTACTACCTGGTATGTTTGCGACCAGATTAATGTATCCTTGCTTGTGGCATAAACATTTTCCTAGCTGCTACTTTTTCTGGTATAACTAAAAGACCAACAAAAGTGCTGAAAGTGATTCTTATTCCTAGGTTCCTGACATGGATGATGAAGAGGGTGAAGGTGAGGACGACGAAGAGGATGAGGAGGGTCTGGAGGACATAGACGAGGAGGGAGACGAAGATGGAGAGGAAGACGAAGAGGACGACGGAGAGGATGGAGAGGTAAAGGGCTAAAGTCAAATAGGTCTTGAAGTATTTTCTTTAATTATTAATTTTTTTTTTTTCTTTAAACTCTCACTGATTGTCTGATATCTTACTCTTTCAGGATGACGAAGGAGAAGACGACTAAGAAATAACTTCATCTACCCAGACCCTCAACCTTCTATTCCCTGTTTGGTTTTTCCACTCACATTCGGGAGCAAAGGTTTTAATTTTATTTTTTTCCCCTTTTTTATTTTTTAAATCTGTGTGTGCTTCATTTTCCATTCTGAGGCCTCTTCACCTGTTGGTGCCATGTTATGTTCTCCTTTGACTTATCTTAGTCCAATGGCACTTTGCCCTGAATTGTGAGTACCATCCCCAAAGTCATCTCAAAAATAATAAAAAAAAATAAAAATAGAATCAGCACTGCATCCTGAGTAGAATTTGAAGACAATTCACACAGAATTCCTCATGTCAAAGGTTGTGTGGTAAATTGACTAAAGCCATGGTGTAGTGACCCAGCGCTAGTTTACCTCTCAATATATTTCCCTTGTTTTGTTTTTTTTTTGTTTTTTTCCAGTTGGGGTGTTGAACCCTTGAAAAAACTGTAATTTTTCCCCAGTGTGCTTAACGAGTACCAACTCATTCCTTTGACTTGTAATGTTTAGGGGGAGGGGGGTGGGGTAAGCTGGGGAGGGGCAGGAGTATGTTGGTTATTGGGGAGAGTGGTTATTTTGACACCATTTCTATGGGACTTTTTTTTTTTCATTGTATTGTTTTACAGATATCCATGAGATTTGAAATGACATTTTTAATAAAGAACAAAATGGAAAAAAAAAAACAAGCTTGTAAATTTTGGCCCCCACTGCTTCATGGGTAAAACAAACCTGTTATCTCATAGAATTTACATTTAATCACACTTTACTTTTCCGCTGGGGGGAAAAGAAACTGTTTTAAATTTGAGGTGTACAACTTGCTTTGTTACAATAATAAAAACTTACTGTGTTTACACGTGTGGGACTTCTCAAGTGGGTGCATAGAAATTTATTTTAAAAATAGATTTTAGGTAGCAGCAAAGGCACCTGTGTTGTACAAAAGTCCATCAGCTCATGAAGGATTTTGGAGTCATTAGCAGGCTGGAAGCAAAGTCTTCTCTTAATAGACGATGGGTGATTAAAGCCAGGAAGGTGTGCTCCGATTCCTTAAAGTTGGTCTTTGTATCTGGCCAGTCACTGGGCTGGAAGGCCCAACCTGGAGGGGGGGGGGGGACAATCGGTTATCTGAAACTCAGATAGTGACTGGTTAAGATATTTATAACAGGGCACCACACGAAACATAAAATATAGAACATGGATTCAAACTAACTTGAATTTCCGTCGGGATAAAGTATCTAATGGGGCGTTTGCCAATATAGTATGAGGTTTTCCTACTGCTTGCACAGCTTCTTTCTTACAGATCTTGTTTCTTTCTCCCAAATATGATTCCAACCCCTGATCAAAACAAATACGTACTTTTGTTACTGCGTACATTTTCCTACATATCTGATAGAAGTTCAACTAGAAATTAGTTATTACATAAATCTATCATTACGAATAACTATATTAAAGCCTGACTTAAAAGGTGTGGCGTTAATGCAAGTACGTTTCTCCAAAGTTACTTGAGTATGCATAACTTTAAAGATATTTTTAAACTTTATTTTGAGTGGTCAGTGTTATTTGCTCCATGCATCAGACAGTAAGTCTTACCATCTCGAAGTATTCATTAAAATAAACTATGAAAGTAATACAAGTATTAATAAGTTACATGAGTGTGCATAACGTAATTTTACCTTTACCTGTTCAACAAGTAAGACTTGCTCTACAGAATCCTGATTAAGACTTATTATGGGATCAATACGAGTAGACATATCTGCTGAGTTGAATGAGTGAATAACCTTTTTGAATTAAATGGCTTAATTTAAGGAATATAAACGTGACCAGACGTCCGAAACAGGCACGAACTTCCAACTTTTTACATGTTATGTTTGTTTCTTTGTGGTAGATGTGATTACTGTCTTTTCTCACAGTGCACCTGATCATACATTAAATGTCTCTCAGTAATAGAGAACAGGTTGAATATTTGAAGATGCATACTGCAGTTTTGCACCATGAAGGGTTCGTACCCACCTAAATGAGTGTTACAGCGGGGACAGCTGGCCACCGTCCATGAGAACCCCGGGAACCAGGAAAAGTGTTTATCTGCCGGCCAGTGCTGGGTAACGTCAGCCTTTCTGAACGTGATCACCTCAAACCGGTGTCCGTGGGGGTTTTCGAAAAGCTGGATGTTAACCCTTCGACCCCCGACCAGCGTGTCGTTGCGGCTGGAGAGCGCCAGTCGGCTGGGGACGTAGTGGATGTCCGTCCCGAAAGCCAGCTCATGCCCACACGCCCTGCACAGTATCAGGGTTGCGGTGCTGGTCCCCCCCTCCTCCGCCACGGTAGCACACGCCTCACCGGGCTGGTATGCAGCGGGATAAAACACGAGTACAAAGGAAACATAATGAACTAGTAACCTCTCCAGCCGCTGTACCAGCAGCCGCAGGCTCCGTTTGCATGTCATCGCTGCCCCGCACGCACATGGAAGAACCACAAACTAGCTAGCTTAAACCCCGAGCAGCTTTGTTAGTAACGGAGATAGTGCATCGATGGTAATCACAAACCAAATGAAAAGCACATCAGATTCACATTTAAGTAACGCTACGTTGACTCGGACAAGCAGTACTAACTTGTAGCTTTACTTCATGGTGATTCGTGAACTTAACCAGCTAGCTATTGAATAAAGTGAGCGTTAGCCTGCTCTCCAGGCTAATGTTCGGAAGTACCATGGAGACAGGAAATGTAGTCATCGCAACCATTTCCTACTCTAACTGCGCACATTACACATTACAGTACAACAGTCACACAACGTTAGTCTGACTGTTACACTGTTATCCAGTAAAACCATTTCTCTAGAATTAACACCACCTACATTTGAACTGTAAAGAAAAACAAAGTGTATCCCGCGGTCACCACCATTTTGAGTTTCACGGTACCTTTTGTGATTGTGTTTTTAAGAACTTTCCTTTAAGAAGCGGGGGTAGTTAAACACAACATATTCCGTCGAATAAAACCTTAGATAGTACTTTGTCTCAGGAGATAGCCATAAAAACAATTCATTTTAACAGTTAAACATCACCCGTGACTTCCAATGGTTACTAAGGGCAACGCATATCGAAAACGCTCCTCCACCAATCACAGGACGGGATGTTACCAACGAGCCAATCAGGGGCGTCGTTTGTCGATCCAAACAACCGTCCGCTACACAGACAAAAGTCGAGATTTAGCCTGGAAACATGTAACTTAGCACGGTACTGTTCAACAACCGCGTATTAAATACATGTTTAGTTGGGTCGTCGTTGATCCTAATCTCGGTGTGAATGCTGTAACTAATACTCGAAAGGATGAAAACCCGGGATTCGCCGCCGCCGGTTCATGTCCATGTACCGGAGACCACACCTGTACATGTTCATATGAGAAGGAGTCCCAGCACGACCCCACAGGTTACACTGGTTTACTCATCTGGAAACACAATCTGACGATTCCCTCGGTCACTTTTTGAACTCATATGTTTGCATGCCACTGTGATCAAAGTTAAAATATCCCAAATGTATTGTACATCATTTTGTAGTTAAGTTAAAAATGTAAAATGTATCACCTGCATTGATTTACTGTTTCTTTACAGTACCATGCCATTTATCCCGCTTGACATACTTTCCAAAGAGTTTGTTATTAAAGAGTCATTATGACAATGAGGATGCTACAGTAAGTCTTATGTGTTCTGTCTGATGAATCCCTTCCTGTTTATGCAGAATAGGACAAACGATGCGCAGGTGATGGGGAATGGAGGGAGGCCAAAGGTCAGGACGCCATGGATTCCTCCAGGAAGACTGTCCTGCCGAAGAGATGTGGGCTCATACAAGTGTCAGGTCTCTTTATAGTGTTTATATTTCTCTGCAGGCCTTCCAACCAGAGCCAATAAATACGCTGGGAAAAGAATACAACTGGGAAGAGGAAGGGTTATTCTGGCAGAGATTTGCCCCCCTAACAGAACAGACAGGTTTGCACTGAGGGCTGAATGTAAACAGAACAGAGTAAGAAGGAATAATCTCGTTTCATGGCTTGTTTACCGATGAGTAAAGTTAGCTGCTCAAAGCTCTTAACTTCTTTTAGTTTTGTGCAGTTGGTCATTTGAAACAGCAACACGGACCAGGAATTTAACCCGTGTGAGAAACCTAGGATCAAGAAAGACGGACTGACAATGGTTAGAGAATTGCCTAAGCTAGTGGATTGTGTTGCAGAGTGACACTGCAAGAGGGCTTTATGATTTTGCAATTAATAAGCACATAAACATGTTCCAAACATGTAAAGGATGATATGCAAGATGTTTTATTGGTGGGGAATAAGGCAACACTGAATACTTTTTTTTTTATTACTTCAATACTCTTCCTTTAAGAAAATGTTTCAGCCCCTGGTTTGATTGCCGTATTCACTCCAGCCATTTACTGAACTCTCGTACATCCATTTGAAACTTTTTTGAATCCAGCTTTTTGTGTGTTTTCACTGAACACGAGTTCTGTTTGTTTGTATCTTATGATCAGAGAAGCAGAGTGCAGCATCAGTCAGAAAGTGGATTCGGACATCAGCGTGATGCAGAGGAGCAGGAAGAGGAGCTGGCTGCAGTAACCAAAAACCTCAGTGTCCTACTCAGGGAGCAAGAAAGCACTCGTTTAAAGAAGTAAGAGCATCTTCAGCAGCCGGGAAATTACAAAGCTTTTTACAAATGTCTCATATTTAAAAGAAGCCTACCGTAACACTTTAATAGTGTTAAAAAAAAACATACGGTTATGTACTTTTAATTTCTGGGCACATTTTCTTTTGCTGGATACTGTAACTGTCGAATGATGCTTCCTGGTTTCAACTCAACCTCACAAAATAACCAGAAAGATGCAGGACTATGACAAATGCGTCCCATGTGATTACAGCTGTATACACACTTTTTAGTGTTTTAGTTTTTTTCCCCTCTCATTGGATTCTAGGGGCCAACACAGAGAGAAAGACATGCTCCTGAGGGCGCTTGTAGAAGCAGAAATTGACGGCGTTGCCGTAGCTAATCAGCTGACATCCCTGAAGGAAACTATCGACCGCCTTGCAAAGGTAAACGTAGCACCAAATGATCATTTTGAGCACACAGTTGGGCAGGAAGATGAAGGCTGGATGCAGGATGAATGAAGGGTGGAGGTTTTCATTATATTTATATGCTTTATTTTAGGTTTTTGTTCTGTCACTTATTTCTCAGGACAAGCGGATATCAAGATTGCACACAGCTTCACTGGGACGGCAGCAGGAGGTGTTGTTAGAGAAGATAGAGATGTTTGACCACACAAATCACAGCCTTCGAGAGCTCCTCAGAGAGTGGAGTGATTACGAGGTACTGGAAGTAGATAAAACTCATGAAGAGCAAATGTCAACGTGCGGTAGTTCTCCTCTGACTGTTTGAATGCTGTGCTGTTGTGTCCACAGAGAGAATCATTGATGTGGTCAGAACAGAAAGTTGCCTTAAAGAAGAGAATGGCCGACAGTGAAGCAGAAAACATTGTGAGTGATTGTCACCTGGTCACACGCAGTGCTCATTCCTCATCAGCCACCAGACATCTGAGGACATTTTTTCTTGTTTTTCTTCTTCTCTTGCAGCGACTTTTGGCCAAACTCACCAACAAGGAGAAAGAGGCGTCTAAGCTTGCTGAGCATTTGGACTTTGAAAAGGTTTGAACTACTACTTAGTTAATTTACTGTAATTTTTTTGCTTAAAGGTCCAGCGTGTAGCTACTGTAGAAACATGGCTGACTCCATGGAAGGCCACCTGTGGCATCAGTAGATAAAAAAAGTAATTCTAAGGCAACAAAAACATAATGAATCCTATATTCTGGTGATTATACACTGATAAAAAAAAACATACCTATGAATATTATATGTAATTTCTGCCAATACATCCTTCTAAATGTTACACACTGGACCTTTAAGTGAAACATTTACACAACATGTAGCTTGGTAGAAGAACATTGGTATGTCTCATACAGCCATATACACCTTTTAAGGCTCAGGTTTTCACAAACAGAAACTCCCCCTCACCCTCTGTTCCTTCTGTCATGGCAGGACAACGCGAAGACGACGGAGGAGCTTTCAAGAATCCTACAGTCGACCCGCGTCCATCTGGAATCTGAGCTGAACAGAGCAGAAGCTGAAAAGGCCCATCTGGCTGCTCAGATTCAGGTCTGTGAACATGAAATACACACATTTGAACTGTCAGACGTGGACCAGTTGTTTTCATCGGTCCGACAGTGGAATGGGTGCTCCTGTTGCTGTTAGAAGGAAATGGCTGTTGTCTCAACATATTTCAGCTCTGAAAGTGAAAAACCCTCACAGTCTTTTGCTAACTATGTGACCAGTCAGTGTTACTAAATCAGCATCCAGCCAGGTGATACTGTGATGACTGCAGTAGGTTTGCACCAGAGAACTGTGTAATGAAGGAGTAGATAAAGTTGTGCCATTAACTGGTCTTTGAGGATGTAAGAAAAGTGGATGATGCAGACCCACCTTATTCTACCCCCTCAAATGGGTTTTTTTTATTTTTTTTATCACTTTCAGACTTATCAGAAGAACATGTAAGGTTCTTTATTGCCCTTTAAACTGGGTGTTTGAATGTCTCTTTCCTTCTCTGTGTGTGGAGCAGAGGATGCAGCAGAGCCACGAGCAGCAGCAGGAGGAGCTGCAGGCTCTGCAGGAGGAGCTTCAGACTCTGAGGCAGCGGAGAGAGGAGGAGAAGGACGAGAAGGAGCAACAAGACCAGGAGGCGCTGGCCCTGCTGACCCAGCAGGCCGAGCGAGCCGAGGAGTCCACCAGACAGATTGCGGTAAAACTGCAGGAAAAGGTCAGTATTCAGAGGTTCCACGGCACAACAGCACAGAGCATCAGTGGTGGGCAGAGACAGGTCCTGTTACTTGGCGGTACATAAAGCATGAAAATATTACAAACAACGTGTCTTCTAAGTCCCTGTTCCATAGGAGGATCCACAGTCCTGTCTGGCATCTGGTTTGTCCTGCATGCAAATAAGTTTGCTCACTGGTGACAGTTTCTTGTCTGATCACACACTTTTATGCAAATCAAGTTCAAAGGAAGTTCAGCCTGCCTCTTGATTCAGTAGCAATATTCCAGTGAAACACAAACACCAGATTCTGAGATGAGGACAGGCTACCGTTGCATATTTTTGCGTTGAAAGTTTTTTTTAAAGTACATACAGCAGACTATAGTACACACAGGCGTTTAGTCAGAAGGGACTATTTCTCACTGGTTGAGTTACTTTCCCTTTACTGTGAATCTTGTCTTGCAGCTCCTTACTCCTTTTGGTAGGAGTCTCAGCAACATTTCCTAAAACATACACGTATTCTAGGGGTGAAATAACTTAAAAGGCTAAAACCTCAATAGTAATGATGAGACGACATCTGTATTTTGTTTCAGGAATCCCAGTTGGCTCAAGCTCTGTCCAGCTCCAGTGACTGGTGCCTCCGCCACTCTAAAGAGGCAGCTGCTAAAGGACAACTGGAAGAGGAGATTTCTGCTCTCAAATTGTGAGTGCACACTTTGAATGCATGTGAGACACACGTTTAGTTTGTTGCTGTAAAATTGTTATTTGGTACAATCATCCCTATTTACAGATGGGGATGATCAGGTAATCATATCGAAATCATACTAATTTTTGGTTTCTTCTTCATGATATTTTAATGAATATAGGTGCAGACGGTATTCATGTCAGCACAACACTAGTTAAACATTACCAATCAACACAAAAAGCTTAAACTACTTGTTTTCTCTATCTTGTATCTTTTATTAGTGTTTTAATTAATATTATATAATTAATTGTATATTTTTACTCAATGTTACTAAAAAGGTATATATAAAATAATGATGTAAGAAAAATATCTTGCACATATAATTCTGCCTCTGATACCAGATTATCTAGTTAAGAGAAATGCCTGAAATACTTGATAACTATTACCTTAAAAAAAAAAAGGTTTATAAATCAAAAGAAAGTAAAACATTATTTAAAAAAAGATGTAATTGTTACGACTACATAGCACAAGCCTCACATATCTGCTTCTATCACAGTCAGGTGACCGAGCTTACCTCCCGGCTTCATTCAGCGGAGGAGAGGAGCCGGGCGGAGAGGGAGGAGCTCAGAGATCAGCTTCATCATCTCAGTGCTGAAAACGCCTCCACCGAGCTGGAAAACCAAAGACTCAAGGTACCTTCAGAGAAATCGACAGCAGATATGAAATTTCCATAAATATTTATTAAATCAAAAGCACCTCATTCATCACATAATGTATTTATGGAAGACAAGGGTTCTCTCCATTATGATAGCTGAGAAGTATGAAAAGTATTTCAATTGCATTTATTATAAACATACATTATATTTAGGGCCAGTTGACGTCATCTGAGGAGAAGCTCGGAGGTCTGCAGTCTGAGGCCCGTCGGCTGAAATTGTCAATAAAAAAACACGAAAACCTGGTGGAGAAATACAAGAAGAAGGTACAGTCACTCAAACCTGCAAACAAATGTCAAATAACATTTCTGTTTGCTTTTCTAAATGCTGTTGCAAAGGGGATGTAGAGACAAACAAGTTTGTTTTTTTGTGAGTTTTGGCAATTTCTTCCTGAAATGGGGACATACTTGGCTAAAGGGTCAGTTCCCCTTAATCACAAAAAACGAATTTACCCTTTTGTGATGTCAGGCCATGCATGGCTACATGATAGAATAGATGAATGAGATTTTCTTGGATCTGGTTGAAAGTCTTTACTCTAGAAAAGCAGAACCTCTTCATTGAAACACTTAATATACCCAGAAGTGTTCACTGTGTCAACTGTACTGTAGTGATGTCAGACTTCTCTGCGCAGGTCCAGCAGGCTCGTCTGGATTCAGAGGACTGCTGCCTGAAGCTGGAGATGACACAAAAGGAGGCCCGGGAGGTGAAGGTGAGCCTGGAGAGGGAGAAGGAGCAGGTGAGGTGGGAGCTGCTGGGCCGGCTCAGAGAGCTCGAGTCACTGCCCGACAAACTGAGGAGGACGGAACAACAGCTCAGAGACCTACAACAGGAGGCCGACACCCACGAGAGGAAGAACAGGGAGCACAACTCTGCCCTTTCTGAAGTCAGACATATGGTACTTAATTTACCCTATATAAGAAGAATAGACATGTCTCTAGTGCCGATTAAATGTTACAGTTATGGCTACAGGTGTACATTGAAAGAGAATCACAGTTTTAATATGCATGCTGCAGATTTTGTCTTTAAAAGTTAAATTTTACTTTCTTCTCAGCTACCATCTGTTGCAAGTAACAGTCTCGCAAGCTACCCAATTAAGATCAACTGAATAGCTAATTGGTTGTAAGAATGCAAGATGAATTTCTTCTTTTTTTCTTTTTTCTATGGTTTGGGATATTTTCCCTTCATTTTAAAGCACACAGTATAGAAAGGGGGGGGGTGACATGCAACAAATCTGGACTTGAACTGGGGACGTTGCTATTAGAGGTCACCCTCAGGCCAACAGGATGCACCATGGAGGTGGATGCCTATCATGGATATCTGTCATGACACTGAGTTCCTCTACAGGTGGAACAACAAGGCACTCAGCTGGAGATGTTTCAGCAGAGGAACCTGCTGCTACAGGAGGAGAACAACGTTCTCAAAGAGAAAATTCACAACCTAGAGAAGTACAGAAACTTGGAGAATTTAAAATAAATATATACACTTTTAAGATAAGAGTATCACCACACATATTTCAGATAGCGAAACACACAATTTTCCTAACTGTAACTGTTGATTTCTGTGTTGTTTGCTGTAGGAGGTTGGAGGACATGAAGGTAGAAAACAAAGAGATGACTCAGGCTCTCTCCTCAAAGGAAGCCAGTATCCAGTGTATTGAGCAGCAGCTGGATGAGAAGACCCGCGAGTGCAGCGTCCTGTCCAGACAGCTACAACAAACTCTGGATGACGCACAGAGAAAGGTAGGAAACTATATACTGTAGTCACTTCCTTTACCTATCCACAGTTTGCCATCCTTCTTCTTTATTTGCATGCTGCTTGTATTTTTGCAGTGAAAATGAAATGAAATTATTCCTTGGTGACTATTTGATAGGCAAAATTGGCTCTAAATTGTTTTGATGGACTGCAGAGATCTGACTATTGATCTAATTCTATCTGAGCCACTATTGAATCAAGCAATGAAATTAACTGAAACAGAACAAAGCAGAGTAATAATCCACAAGTTCCCAATAGTTTTACACATACACCGGAACAAAAATCATCTTATTGTCTCTTTTACTCTTTCATGTTCATGTTCATACAAGAAACGCCAACCCAGAAAGCCACAAAAACTCCAATAATGTACATAAACATATCTACAATGCCCCTCAACAATGAATCTAAGTAGAATAATGATAAATAATTGTATCTATAAACTATATATGTATGTGTAAATATAGATTGATTTGCTTACTCTGACTCGGATGTCTGACTCTTTCTCAGAAAATTCTGTTTATACATTTCCTATTCTGAGTATTTGGGTTAATACTAGAATATTGCAGCGAGTATAGTGAGGAAAACTTTAACTCCATTAGTTTTTTTCCCCTCTGGCCCACAGGTGGACAGCAGCATGCAGAGGGTTTTGGCCAAAGAGAGAGCGTCTCAGTCTAAAGCTTTGGACCTGCAGAGCCAGCTGAGTCGAGCCAAAACAGAGCAGACTCAGCTACAGCGAAGCAAGGAAGAGGTACGTCACTCTGTCCCTCCTCCAAACATTCAACAGTGCTAGAATGTAACTAAGTACATTAACTACATATTTAGCCTGTGTATTCGCAACAATCTGGCAATACAGTACGTATCACGATACAGAGGTTACGATTCAGTATATTGTGATATATTATGATAATGTGAACACAGCAATTTATAGTCATAGTATAAAGAACACACCACCATTTGTATAAAATCTGAGTTAAAAAATGTTTACTTTTTTACGCAATTAGAACAGTGGGATCCACATTTGTATTTATTACAGTCCCTGTAACATCATAGCCCTCCGCTGATGTTTACAGCAGTTGGGGGTTTAAACTATTGACTGTTTATATGTTTTTGAGAGTTGATACAATATCACAAAACAAAGTATCGCGATACAAAATACAATCCTAGAAATATAATATACTGTAATAAAAAGTGGAAATCAAAAATTTAAAAATGTTTGTGTGTGTCTCTGTTGTCCTTCAGATGGAGCGTCGTTTCCAGAGTCAGCTGCAGAACATGAAGGACAGACTGGAGCAGTCAGACTCTACAAACCGCAGTCTGCAGAACTATGTTCACTTTCTCAAAACCTCATATGGAAATGTGTTTGGTGACTCCTTGCTTGCAAGCTGACTGCAAAATACTCCAACCTGACCAGCATTCATCCTTTCCAGATGACAGTTATTGACTACTACTTTTGACATGAAGTTTTTATACTATCTATGAAATGTCTACAACTTTTTTAATGAAGTGCTTACATTTTAGTTGCCTGAAATGTATTTATATTATTTTGAATAAATTACTTCCTGCACAGTTCTTGATTCTGATTGGCCTCATGGTGTGCACTATGGTTCATTTGCTCTGGCAGATAATTTGCATTTGTCAGGGTAGATTCTGATGGTATTTCTTTGAAAATCTTCCATCTTTATGAATTTGAACTATTTCACCTTTGAGCAAATGCATCCATTTTGTTCTGACAGAACACATAACACCACAGTTTTAATTTCCTAAATATAATATGTAACAGAATTTATGGCCCAACTGAAGTCCCGTATTTTATTGCTGTACTAAGTAGAAATACCATGTATATAAGTGAACTCTAAAGGGATTGCCTAAATATAATATTTGAATCTCATTTACGCCAAACCCCATTTAGAACTTGGGTAATTCAACATATTCTGGCTCATTCGCAAACATAAAAACCAAATAAAACATAAATTATGACATTTTATAAATGAATAGGGTATGTTCCTTAACTTGGCGTATATTTGATGCAACAAAACCTTGTTTAATTTAAATGTTAACATTTAAAATTGGGTTGTCAGGGAAAGGGTGAGGTAACACAGCAGCATGAACCAGGTAAAACTTACATGAAATGCACACTGGTGAATGGCTTTTACGCCGACTTTTTTGTAATATGTAATGTGTAATATCAGCTTTCAAGTGAGTGAGGTGAGTGTTTGAAAAAAGTAGACCGATTGAAAAAGGACGGACCGCTTGAAGGACCAATATTGTGGTGTTCCCGGTTGAGCCACCGAATCAGAAAAACTCTAAATAGTAAATCAAATCTTGTTATTACATGATTTCCGCTGTATCGTGTACATTACTATTTAAATGATAAAACTAAACCAAGAACACAATATAATAAGGAGACAGCCCAGCATACCGGAAACATTGAGCGTCTCCGCGCTAGGCGGGCTGTTTCACGTCGGATTGTAATTGATGTAACCCCATCCGCTGATTTCAAAACTCAGCCTGTTCCCAGTAGTTTGTAGTTTGGGTTACTTTTACCATTCTGTCGTGATGCCTGCTGAAAATCTACGATGGGACACTTTACAGGCTCTAAAAAATTCACCAAAGGCAAACATAAGATTTGACCCATACTGGTCGCAAAGGGGCGAGGTGAGTTCACGACAGCTACGGTCACACATTAGCTGACTAATGGCTACTTAATGTCAGCTAGGCCGGGCTGTCCCTGCTGGTTTAGCCACATAACTTTCGTTTATTAAAGTGAGTGAGGCAGTCACCATTACAGACCCGTAACAAGGAGAACAACCAGGTGGAAGCACTGTCTTTAACATTGTTTTATTAACGTAATGGCTAACTAACTCTTCTGACCTAAAAGTGTCGAGCTCACTGACAGTACGTAATAACGTTAGTGTTGAACCAGACGAAGAGCTTGCTCTCCAGTGATTCTCAACCCCCTCACAGTCCCCTAGGTTGGGGACCACTGGGCTAAACTAACTCATTGCATGAGCTCCACCTCGAGCAGCTAGAACAGTAAAATACAACTTACATATCAATGCATCAATATTAACGATTCATTCATCTAATGTAATGCACTGTATAATGTCCACCATAAGGGCCCTTTCTAGTAGAAAATGTACTCTTTCTTCTTGTGTACTTTTACTTTACCAGGATTGTGAATGCAGAACACCAAAACTGCCTAATTGTCATTGTTTTCTTTATCATTAGGGTCCGTCCACACCTCATGCCTTTTCTCTTTTTATATACATTTAAATTAATGTTCATGTATTTCTTTCAATCTTTTTTTTTTTTTACGTGTAATTGTAAATATTTGCTTGTGATGAACTTGTGTTCTTTTTAACCTTTGGTGGTGTAAATATATATTTAAATCTGCATCTGACTGCATCTGCAAAAAGTGGTGTGGTTGTCTGTGATACAATAAAACCACTGGAGCTTAGTATGTGGTCATCCACATCTCTTAAAAAAAAAATATCTTGGTACATTTAAATGTAGTACGCTTGAGGTTTAATGTGTCTGTGTTCTTGCAGGATATTTTGGCAGGTTGCAAAGATGGCCTCAGCTTGTCCTCGGACTCTGCGGTCATATTGGAGCGGTTCAGCTCTTCACCCCTGCAGAAGTCCTGCTTTCTGGGTTCCAGCTCTGGAGACTCCAGCCCTGGCCTCTCTGAGGAGATCTCAGCCTCAGCTTCCTCCACAGGATCCATCCCTGACATCAATGGGAAGCACACCACACTTTCTGCAGCCCCACCTGTAAGGGCCGAGAGTGAGCAGGCAAGTCTCTCATCATGGATACATGCTGATCTCTGTGGTTTTGTATGTGAGGAATAAAAGCTTGTTAAACTACAGTGTATTTTCTGATGGGTTATTGGAAGAGTTCACATAACGTTTGTGTGATCTGCCAGGCCATCAAATTAGTTTTTACATCAGTTTTACTCAGAAGACATGACATGTACACTTAAATTCACTAGTTTAATATAAAGTCAAAAGTCAGATGGCCTGGCTTCAAGTGTATTTTGAACTTTTCTGTGGAGCTGGATGTTCTACTTTATTCCTTTTTATAAAATAAGAACAGCAACACATTTTTTCCTTCACATTTATATGCTGCAGGCTCTTAGTGATGAGGCGAGGGATGAAGATCCAGAGACAGACAGCGAAGTTTCCAGTCCTACATCGCTACCTGCCATTTCGCTGCTGTCGCCCAAAGCCATGGAGACGGCGGGCCACATTCTCAAATTTGAGGCGGAACAACGAGAAAAGGCCAAGGTCAGACACAGAGATTGTTAATTATCCCATAAGAAGAAGAAAATGACGGCTGTATAATGTTTTATTATAAATAGGTCAAAGTGTGTGCGTTTTAAACAAGGACATGAGCATAAATGTGTAAAGACTTAAGTTTATTCATTTTTGGACAGGACATCTTCGTCTGAATGCATGAATTTGATTATTTCTAGTAGTGCTGAAACAATTCACTGCAAAATAGTTAGTATATCCTTTTTTATTTTTTATTTCTTTGAATTATTTATAATTTTTAGGAATGAAAATGTCTAACAGGAGAAATATGTTCATACATACACTTTCATGTTTCAGCATATTGAAACATGTACAGTATAATGATGGACACATAGACTTTGTTGAAAGTTACTTAAAGCTTCTTACAAACCTTAATCCTAGTTTTTCCTAAGAATTACTTGACTCGTAAGTCAGAGTTTGGAAAATTTTTAAGACCATTTACCAACCTGTTTACCAATATGTGACCACTAAGGTGTCAGTAACCCCACCATGCAGACAGGAAGCTCTACAGTCTCACCTGCTTTATATTTTAACCTGTCGGCTCAGATGGCGCTCAAACTGCGGCAGGAGATGCAGGAGAAGCTGGTGGCGGCGGTGGCAAGCTCAGAGTCGGAGCAGCTGAAACGCTTTGAGGAGTTCATGGAGTTGAAGCAGAGACAGGAGTACCAGAGCATGAGGGACATGATGGAAAGAGAGTAAGAGCCACTGGCAAAGGACGCAAGTCTCATGGTTTTTAACATTTATGAAATGTTCTGTGCGATCAAAACTGTCCGATTTTTCCACTTTCTGCACTGTAGAACTAAAGAGAGCATCGGGCGTCAAGAGAAACTGAAGGAAGAGCAAAGATACAGAATGAAGGTATGATCATCATACCACACTGAAAGGACACTGGTGGGAGTGACACCCTAAAAATGGTTGCTTTAAAGGTCTGGAAATGACCACAAAGTTTGGTGTCCACATGCCATATTTACAAAGCATCTCAGAGTAGAAAATCTAATCGATCTATGCTTATATTTAAAGGTCCACTGTGTGATGTTTAGGAGGCTCTAATGGCAGAAATGGAATAAAATATTCATAGGTATGTTTTCATTAGTGTATAATCACCTAAAAAATAAGAATTATTGTGTTTTTGTTACCTTTTTAGAATGAGACGTTTTTATCTACAGATGCCGCAGGTCACCTTCAATGGAGGCCACCATGTTGTACTACCAAAACATAAAACATAAAGCCTTCCCAGGACAATGTTACTATTTCACACGTAGTGAAATTTCAAGGTTGATTCTGAGATGCTTGATAAATATGAGCCCTGACTGCTTCTTCACACGTTCTGAAGTTGTTGGCAGCCATACGTGTTTTGTAAAGTATAAATAGATTTTCTTCATTGTCCTCTGCATCAGATCCTCAACCTGCGGCTGAGGGAGGCGGAGCAGCAGCGCCATCGGGAGGCGGAACTGGAGCGGCAGCGGCGGACGGAGGGCAGGGAGAGACTGCGTAACCTTAACGCCATCCAGGAGGAGATCCTGCAGCTCAACCAACTGCTGGATCCGTCCACCCAGACCAAAACCGAGCTCCCGCTGGCCAGCCTCAACTCCCTCAGCACCCGTGGGAACCAACTGTGCTCCCAGGTGTCAGAGGTGGTGCGAAAGACAGCAGAGGTGAGTTTAACTGCTGATTGGTAATGTTTAGGTTTAGGTTGTGGCTCCTTTCTACACTGAAAAATCATTGTGGTTGTGTTAAAGGATCATTCCAGTTTATTACAACTTGAATACAAAAGCAGTCAGATGACAATAAAGGTTGGAAACATAATCCAAAGATATTTAATTCACAATGATATAAAAACAAGAAAAACATCAAATCCTCACAGTTGAGAAGCTTGGTAGATGAATGATGATAAATGGCTCAAAGGAGAAGTTTAACCTCTTCTGCGGTTTCTTTCCAGGGAGAGTTTCCCAGCGTAGAAGACATGACCGTGGCCGAGCGAGCCCTGCACGAGATGAGGGCGCTGATCCGGCTGATGCAGGAGGAGGTCGCCAAGTCTCAAGAGAAGAAGAAGAAGGAGCAAGAGCAGGAAGAGGAGCGCAGGAAGCAGGTGGAGCTGCAGGCACAGCAGGAAGCACAGAAGAAGGCGGCGCAGTCGGCCAAAGAGAAGGCACAGAGGAAAGGTGAGAGAGTTGTTGTGACCCAGGACCGTATAATATGTATCACTGCATGGATATCACCTAGAACTTCAACGTTTCAGTAACATCTGCTCAGTAAACGTTGAAGATGAACTCACCACGTGGTAGGAAATTGTGAGGAACCCCCTGGCTGGTCATCTTGGCTGCTGGCCACCCGGCTCCATGTCCGTTGTCATCCCAGGGATAACAGTCTTTTTTTGGCTTATTGTTACCTCTGGCTCTAATGTCCCCATAGTATTTTTATACATACATTATATAATTCCTTTATCACCACATTTCAATAAATATGTATTAGTGAAACTGGACAGAGGCAGTGCAGCATTTTGTTTTATTTTTAATATACAATACAGATTGTATAACAGATGCATCTTCCCGGGTTTGAATTCAGCTTGGGCTCTTTGCTGCATGTCACCCCCTCTCTCTCTCCAGCATTTTCAGTCTCTCTCAACTGTCACTGTCCAAAATACTAAAAAGAGAAACAAAAAACAGATTTTTTTCAGCTGCTGGAATGCAGCCCAAAAAGTGGTAAACCACACTGACATATTATCTTTTATAAGGCTGATATGGAGAAGGTGTTCGTAAACAGTTGCCTGTTTATACATCCAGCGTTCATCAGGTTGACACATTTTTTATTTGATTTGAACTGAATACTAATGAACGTACGTCGATATTCACTCTCCTTTTAGCTCTGGTTTGGTCTCTGCCTTTAGTTGCTCGATGTTCACCAGCTTTATTCTCCAGCTAGTCTTTATATGTCTGTACAGTGGGTGTATCAGAGCTGGAAACGGCACTTAGGCCGCCCCATTGCTAATATATACATGTTGTTTAGAGCAGCTTTAAGGGAAAGATCGTCTTTTAGGAATGAGATTTCAAACCCTCACAGGAGGAAGTTAATGTATACATTTGAAGAACTGCGTTTCAGTTATCATTAGTTAAATTTCTTCTTCAAATTTACTTTTCATTTTTTTACTTTTAATTGGACTGTTACTGTCGTCCAACAGGGCTGCAGAACAGTGCTGAAGAAAGCACACTGAAATGGTACAAGGAGCTGCAGCTGTCAGCTGCTCAGTGCGCTCAGTCCTTCGAACAACTCAACTCCCCGAAAGACGCCCAGGTGAGTTGGTGCTTGTCTGCATGAATGCTTATCATTTAACTGGGAAATTAAATATCAATAATAATAATAAAGATAATAATGTTCCATTTATACTGTTCAACATTTCATGCATAAAATGCAGCTCAAAGTGCTTCATAAATTAAAGAAAAGAGCAGATGATTGTTCCAGGCAGAGAGGAGGGTTTTCCTATAAGTAGAATTAGCCATACAAGTACATTAAATTAGTCTAGTTATGAACAGGTTTCCGTCAGCACTCAACAAGTATCGAGGTTCAATTACCAGCCGTAATATTAAGCGCTGTTGTGGCAAGAACAAAGTGGAGTAATAGTGATACTACTTGTGAGAAAAACTCTGCACAGATGGTTTCATTTCTCCTTTCTGGACTCAGACAAAGAAGCTGAAATTGGAGCTCCAGAAAGCAGCCAGCATCCCTGTCAGTCAAATCTCCAGCAACTCTGGATCGCAGCTCCAAGAAATCTTTGACAAGATTGACAAGCTGCTGTCGGGGCGGCCGGTGGTGTCGGGAGGGAAGTCTGTCTCCACCTCCCAGCATCCACAGGGCCTGGACTTTGTCAGTTACAAACTGGCTGAGAAGTTTGTGGTGAGTCCACCTGGTGCTGTTTGATAAATTAGCCCAGGAACTCTTCGAATTTAATAAATGTTTGTGGCAAAACCAAAATATAGTCACTCAAAAATAACTCAAAATGTTTTCATTTAGTGTCGATATATTTTAATTTAAATCATTTTTTATCATTTATCAGGAAAAAAGTGAAACATTTTTTGGTTCCAGCTTCTCAGATATGAAGATTTGCTGCTTTTCCCCCCATGTTTTATATGATTGTAAATGAAATATTTTGGGGTTTTTGAATGAAATTTTATACATTGGATGATTCATTAATAAGTCAATCAATAGTAGCAGCGTTCAATTGAAATGTCTTTAACACAGGCTGAATCAAGATAACCGTGTTTATCTGGGTAACTTTACAGAGTGCAACTGGAAGTAGCTCTTTCACTTAAGTCCACATTCCTGATTCAAGGAGGTTCCTGGTGTTTACTCAGACGCTGACATTTTTCAGCTAACTTGTAATACTGCTATGTGAGACAGACCTCAAAGATTGTTATTGATAAGTAGCAGAATAAATTAGATCACAGTGTGCTATCCATTTTTTAAAATATGCAGTTGATGACTGCAGTGCCAATGAAACCCCTAACTTTTGCAGTTTTAGGACCACATGTTCCTGTACGACTCTGAACATTCATGTTCCCAGCATTTAGTGTACAAGGAAAAAAAAACAGCAACAAAACTAATTTCTTTCCTCCTATAGAAACAAGGAGAGGAGGAGGTGGCTTCTCACCACGAAGCTGCCTTCCCCATCGCCGTGGTGGCCTCTGGCGTTTGGGAGCTGCACCCTCGAGTGGGTGACTTTATCCTCGCCCACCTGCACAAGAAATGTCCGTACGCAGTCCCACATTACCCTCCAATGAAGGAAGGCACACAGGTGGAGGAATATCAGAGGTCAGGGAGACAGAAATGTGTTGCTACAACCTGCTTCACTCAGTTATTATGTTGGATTAATTAAAATAATAAAAGTGTTGTGTCTGAGAAGAGTACAGATTTTCATCTGCTATTTTGCCTTCACTTCTGAGAAGAGTACAGATTTTCATCTGCTATTTTGCCTTCACTTCATCAGGATTCTTGGTTACCGTGTGGACGACTCCGGGGTTGAAGGTCAAGACAGTTTCCTGAAGAGGATGTCTGGGATGATCCGTCTCTACGCTGCCATAATCCAGCTGAGGTGGCCCTACGGTTCCAAGCAGGGGGTAAAAGCTGTCTCACTTTCTGTCTGTTTGTTTGTTCATTCACTGAATGATCTATTTCAAGCATGATTTAAGCATATTATTAAGCTTCTGCATCTTTAAATCTTTGTTTCTCTGTTTTTCCTTTTGTGTTTCAGGCTGCTCCTCACGGTCTGAACAATGGCTGGCGTTGGTTAGCTCAGATGCTCAACATGGAGCCCCTGGCAGACATCACGGCTACGCTGCTGTTCGACTTTCTTGAGGTGAGGCCTAAACCTTTTTTTTTTTTTTTTTTTTTAAACTGCTTTTTAAACATCAGCACTGCTGTTTCTATACACACAGATCCTAATAGAGCATATAGAGATATTCAGTTGTGTACATGAGGGTAAGCTGTGGACCATGTCATCCAATATTGTCATCAGCTAACAAAGTTTCAGCCTGGTTTGCACTTGAAGAACAGCCATCCAACCAAATATGACACAGTAGAGCACGTTGAATGAAATACAGTGAATAAAAGTGATGTTTAAAATGTTTTTTATTTGTGTGTGTGTGTGTTGCAGTGCAAAAAAGGTCAGAGTTAAAGTTAATATGATCATTTTGACAGTTTTTCAGAGCCCACACTGAGTGACAGAAAGTTACTGAGTTGTTGTGAGACTTGTAAAACCTTATTAGTGACTGTTTATAAAGCTGGTGGCGCATTAAAGTTATTACTGTGGTCAGTGAATGCAGCTGTGGGTTAAACATGTAAACTTCAGTGTTGACGTTGGTCTTTTTGTTTGTGTGTGTCCTTCAGGTTTGTGGTAATGCTTTGATGAAGCAGTATCAGGGCCAGTTCTGGAAACTCATCCTGCTCCTTAAAGATGAATACTTCCCGAGGTACACACTCCAGATTTAAAGCATGTTGAGTCTTCCATCAACAGGTCAAATGTTTTACCTGCAGCTGTCGCCACCTATTGAACTTGCCTCTGTCTGTGTTGAATGTCTCTTTGGTGTGTCCAGAATTGAAGCAGTGACCAGCACTGGACAGATGGGCTCAGTCATCAGACTCAAACAGTTTCTAGAGGTACGTCAAACCCACTGCTAATGTTAGCACTGTACTTAGGCAGACATTAACACTTGTGGTGTTGGTAAATAAAGAGAGAGGAAACTTTGTGCAAGAAGGGAAAAAAAACCGTCTGTTTTGGGTGCACAACATAGACACAACAAAAGAAAAGGCTGCTTCAGTAGTGATCGGCGGATGAAGCTTTATGAAGCTTTGGAGCTTTCTTTCAATTTGTGCCAAAAAAGATTTGAAGCTCAGTAATCCCAGTAATGTGCTGATCACATTGTTTAGTGGCAAACGTTTCAAAACTGTCAAACTCAATGAAGCTCTTTCTGAATCACCAGAGAAGCTTTAAACAACCAATTCAGGGGTTAAAAGTGGTTTAATCCTTACAGTGTGTTTTATTCTGAAGTTGAGAACAATGTAACTCCGTCGTCCCTAAAATGTTTTATTTCTAAAATGAGACGTCACATGGAGTCAGATTGCTCCCCAGATGAGGACATTTGAACTACATGACACAGTGGCATTAGGTTAACGAGTATAAATGTTGGGTGGAGAACCAAATTTAAAGTGAAGAATATGGAAATAGAAATAAAGTTGTGTCTAGTTGTTGCCTCCCCCTGCATGCTACACACACACGCACACACACAGAAAAGAAAGAAAAATATATATTTATAAAATGAGTTAATTAGTTTTTGTGTTTTTGTGACCTCAATCTTGGTTTCTTTCTTGTGAAAAACCTTAACGTTGTCTCCCACGCGTAGACGTCACTGCAGAGCCGACAGATCAGTCCGCCCAAAGGCCAGCTGAACGCCATGTTCTGGAGGTCGTGATGGAGGAGGAGCAGTGTTGGATGTTGCTGCATGACGTCGCTTAGGACTGAATAAAGCGGAGAGGGAAGTGGTCTGAGGCTGGAAAACTGTGTGCTTTGTGGCTGGAGACTTAGTCTACAACCAACTTTAGTCGCTAATCGGAGAGGAAAAGTCAAAGCTGCTCCTGTAGGAAGATGTGCGTCACATCTGTTTAGTTACACAGCTTCTGTGGCTCATGAACTTTGTGTCAGGTTCATTCACTGGATGACTCAAAGAACTGATCAGTAGGAATGTGATGGACGGTGACACACCCAACTACATTTTCTGAATACAACATTAATTCAACAGTTTTGAAGGGGCTAACAGTGAGATATTTATCTCTGGATTAAAACAGTGAAGGGAGTACACGTCGTCTCGCCAGCACATCCGTCCTCCCAACGTCAGTATGAACTGATGGTTTTCTGCTTACAGCTTTAGAACATACTTTATTATTCATGTGTGCACAACAAAAAAACATCCAGCAAAAAGAACCAAATTCTGAAACTAGGACATGCAATAATTATGTTGTGTTGAGATGTCAAGGTCTCCCTTGCGTTGCCTCAGGCTGAAAGTTTTCCAGAGTTCAAAGATCATAATGTGGAGCTGTTTTACTGGTAGTGTGTTGTAATCCCTGTGTGGGGGGAAAAGCTCTTTATTTTACTTTATTTGTCCACTACGGGATCACTGCTGTTTGTTTTTATTAAGTCTCCACAGTTGCTGTTCCAATCAGAATTGAATGATTTGAACTTTTGCTATTTATTTTTTTAATGAATCCACCGTGTGGATGAAGATGTATGCTCTGATGAACTGTCAGTGTAATCATTGTGAATGGAGCTGCCCCAAGATTAGAAATATAATGTGAAAAACTGCTGAAGTGCATTTGTCAATATTTCCAAAACACAAATGATTTGATCCTCATGTTGAAACAGAAATCTGCTTCAGTGCTTTAAAGTTAATTTTGGAGGAGCAGAGCAGAGGTGTCTTCTGAATATAATGTAGATTATAAAGGTTTATTACCAGAATGATTGTTGTTCTCATCTGTATCTATAAACCAGATGTCTGAAATAAAACCTCATCAGAAGTTTACTCAAAGTGCTTGTCGTCCTTGGGTTTGTTTTTTGGTATTTTGCCCTCTATATAAAATAAATTATACCCTTCACATCTTTAGTAGAACAGAAGTTGATTGACAGAAACTATTTTGTTTATTTTAAATGAAGTGCATTAATATAACTGTAAATATTGTTTATAAGTAATGTCACAAATTCAAAATCTTAACAGTGAAGAAGTTTGGTATCAAAATATACATGAAAGGTTCCTATTATGCAAATTTGACCAATTTCAGAATACTATATATTACTATAGTGATTACTGATGTGTTAATTTGGTAATGTTGCATCTGGAAAAGGTGGATCTAATTTTAATTTGTTAATATGCCGTTTGGTAGTTTATGGATTAACCCTCAGGCATCAATAGTTTTATCTTTACTTATAAAATACATTATTTATTTGCTTATTTTCTATTAATAATCTGAATCTGCAAAGTAACTCATCAAATAAATTTAAGAAATACAATATTTGCCTGTGCGGGCTGCATTTGTCCTGCACGTATGTAATTACAAAATGTAGTTTTTATTTACTTTAACACCCAATACTAATCATCATGTCATAAATGTCTGGTGCACAAATAAAACACAGCTCAAGGTTTCCTTTTTAATTTTACCTTTTTACAACTATGCACATCAAGTTGGTTTTAATACAATTAATTCTGAAATTGATCTGCAGTTTGCATATTAATTACATTCAAACTGGCTCACCAGTTCTTATCTTATTTTACCCCAGAAAGTGAACAGCAGCCGATGACGAACTGATTCTGCCAGACTGATCCTGCATCAGTTACACAGAGAAACAAAGATACAACCACAGAGATAACCTGGTCTCATGGTGTCTGTGCCAAGTAAATAAAGAATCTACTGAACCTACAAGAAAATCCAAATAACCGTTTGTCTTTAAAATCATCTAATCATCATAAATTATAAATTTGCTGAGCAATCTGAGAGTAATTAGGCCAATTTCCACCAAATTCAGTTCCTTTTATGCAGTCAGATGAGGCTGACTGCTAAAACTAAAGACAAATATTTGAGAGAAAAAATTGGCAAATATTTGAGTAAGTCCCTCTGGGAGCCCCCAATCTTTGGTTGAGAACCACAGTAGTAGTAATCTAGAACAATATACAGTACTGACTGTGAAATATGAGCAGCTTAAAAAACATTTCTGTTAAGCAGTTTTCTTAGCTTATGTGACACAAATTCAAGGCCTGGAAATGGGTAAAATTATTTCTAGATCAGCATGAAAAACCCTGAGGGCTGTTTTAACTATTAAAAAGGGACTGTGATAGTTTCACCTCACCATAACACAAAATAAAGAAACAGATTTACAGGAAAATCAAGACTGCTGAACCAAGATAGGCTGACTTATAGGTTTTGGTTGTATTGTGAAAACATGACTTTACTGTCAAGTATATTTCAATAATATATTATATTGTTCAGTTACCACAGTTCACCAGTAGATGTCAGTAAAATGCTTGTAAATGAACAGCAGAGTCGATAGACTCCTCCACAAGCAGCTCCCTCATTAAATGGTCAGATATCAGATATCTGGCAACAGTATCTTCATGTGTGTAATCTACGTAAATGTCTGCAGTTAACTCATCCATACAAATCAACAGGTTTAAACTCATGTGTGTCGAGCAGGAAATCAATCAGGGACAGTAGCAGGAGTTCTTGCCTCCTGATGCTGGTCACTGTCTCTGTGGCGGTTTACTGTTCAGTCTTTTTTAAGCTGGAAGCACTCAGTCTCCTGTGGTCTCCTGTGGCCTCCTGTGGTCTCCTTCACCCGTTCCACTTCACTCCTGCTTCAATCGCGGCCCTCGCAGTTGAGCGAGGCTCTCTCCATGCGTCTGTACCATTGTTTGACCTTGGTGTTCTCCATCATGTCGTCAAATGCCTGCAGGCCCTCCATCACTCTGAGCACACCAAACACTGCCTGCAGACGGAGGATAACGCAGGAAAAGTTGACCCAAAAAAACCCCATCTGAAAACAATCTGTAGCCACTTAAGGTATGAGGTTGTAACGGTTGTGATGTGCACCAGAAAACAATCTTGTTATGTGATTTGCCCTACAATTCCTACCACTAGCAGGGTAAAAAAAAAAAAAAGCCTCTGTACCGTGAGCACTATAGGACATCTTTGACTGTATGTAGCAATGAGTGATTGGAAGATGTCAGTGTGGGCTCCAATTTTTGTTAACATCTTAAAAACGTATAGATGTGCATGCACACAGCATGTTGTACAGATTAGTATATAACATGCAACATTTTTAGTAAGTTTAGCACGTTCTGTTTTGGTATGTTAAGATTTGTACAATATGGTAACCTTTATTGTCTTTGCAAATGCTAACATTTAGCATTTGTTTGTGTTGTGTTATAAGAGTTGTTTATTCTAATTCTTTACCCAGAACATGAATGGATGAAAGCATCCAGACAATAAAGGAACATCTGAAGTGTATGTGTGGATTCTATGTGTCTATGTTTATCTCAAATTAAAGCTGAGGATGAAAACAAATTGTTTGTTTGTTTCCATGACCAGGTTCAGGAACACTGGATGCAGAAAGAGACAGATGTGTTCCCTCACCAGGTCTGCCAGGTTGGGTTGATCTCCACCCATGAACTTCCTCTTCTTCCCGATGGCTGCCACCCAGTCGTCGACAGCCCTGTACAGATCCTGCCTGACATCGTCCTGCAGGTTGTGTCTGTTGTGTCAAAAAAGGAAAACAATCACCACTTTGACATCCAAACACTGACTTAAATTCAAAAATTGCGAACCCCATAAGCAACTACTGCACACATTTTCACAACACAAGGGACACAGATGCCTCAGGCTTGCCTCAGTCTGGACTGCAGATCTTTATTTCTTCATGTGCCACTTACCGACTTTTCAGCCTTTTGGAGATGAGAAACATGGCCGCGGCGCCGACATATTTGGCAAAGAAACCTTCGAAAGTGCTGAACTTGCCCTCGCGTACGATGTAGTCAAAGGAGGCCAGGGCCTCGCCGGCAGTTCGGTACACGTTGGGAGATATAAGATGCACAAGCCAATCATCGGCCCACTGACGCCACTTCATCTCCTCTCTGAAAACAGGAAAAGAAAACAAACACCGAGTTCAATTTACATCATATTAGTGGGCTGGCCAGATGTGGGCCAAACAGAGTAAACTGAGACAAATGTCACTTTTTTTATGAGATACTGACTGTAGTTATAAAACAATAACAGTTAAAAACTGGGGCAACCTTTCATAAGAGTATGCTGATAGTTCCAGGCCATGATTTCTGTCTCTTGTGGGTGTGTGTGTGTGTGTGTGTGTGTGTGTGTGTGTGTGTGTGTGTGTGTGTGAGAGAGCAGTGGTTTGGACTTACTTCTGCATTCCCTTCTCGGGGTAAACCGCAGTGGTCTCGGCCTCACTCAGCATCAACCAGTACTTGTTGGAGTACTCTGTCACCTTCTTCCCACTGTCGTTCACCGACTTCAGCTCGGGGTAGCAGCAAAGGATCTCAGACATACTTTTGTCCCTGGATGACACGTAAAGGATCAGTGCACCCAAAATACAAAATATACAGTTTATTTCCTCTCTTCCCTCTCATGGTATGTATCCATGCAGATAGTTTTGGTTTTATTTGCCTGGGCGATTTTAGAAAAGTAACGATTATTTTCATCAACTTATCTACTGATTATTTTCTTGATTAATTTCTCTGACTGTAAAATGTTTCCGCCAGACCTAGGTGATGTCTTCCAATGTCTTGTTTTGTCTGACCCAAAGAGTTTACCATCATGTATGACAAAGGAAATCATAAAATACTAATATTGGAGGAGCTGGAACAAGCTCTTTTTTGGACATTTTTGCTTAAAAAACTAAAACCATTTATCAAGTATCAAAATAGCCGATTAGTTTTCTGTCAATTAATTATTCGAATAACGGTTGCAGCTTTACTGTTAAAGCTTGGAGGCCTAAACTCCAAGAGAGAGAAAGTGTAAAATTAAAAATAGATAAATAAAACAAAATTATTTGCATGGCTGGATATCAAAAACAATGAAGAAATAAAAATACTCATAACACATGGTGCATTATACTCTTGTAGATTTTAACAGGTTTACAGTGACGGGCTATTGTCCAGGCAGGTTAATTATAATAATTATCAAGAGAAAACACATTTTCAAATCACTTGAGGGAAGCTGTAACTTACTTTTTGATTAGAAATGTCTTGAGGGAGCTGATGATGACAGACGAGTCATTCAGTTGCTGAGCAACAAAAGAGAGTTAAGACGAAAAGAAAATTCTTTTGAAAATTACTGCACATTTATGGAGAAGAAAATGTAATATTAAGTATTTTGGAAGTGGAAGTGCCACAAAATGGAGATAATTTCATTTTGTAGCCTGTATCTGAAGTGAAGAGACCTGACCAAATAAACGTTGGACATAAATCAAGTGTTCTCATCTTGAGATTCGACTGTCTTACCACTTCGCCATCCACCATCAGGATTGGTACTTTTCTGTAGGCAGACCACTTGATCTCCTGCCTCATCACCGGGTTCACCTCCACAATCTCATACGGCAGCTGATGGTAGTCCAGAAACGCTCGCACCTTGCTGCAGAAGGGGCAGGTCTTGTACTGGTACAGGGTCAACCTCACACCTCCTCCTCTGGAAACCTGGAACGAGGCAGAAAGAGGATCCACCATTCTTATAAAGGCTAATTCTAATGTGCAATATCTTTGGCCTATATACATGTTTTTATGCAGTTTTTACAGACCGCCAAAAGTACTGGGACACCCAAATATTCCACCCATGTGTAATTGTTGAACACAATGCATATGCTGCTCTAACACCAAGAGCTATACTGAGCAGCAGCTATACTGTGTCAGTGTACATGCATGTCAATTAGAAATTGTAGTACAGAAAATGCAGTCACCATTAAATAGTTTGTCCCAAGGGAGCACTGTGGAAGGGAATTAGCTGTAGATCTCCAATGACCCCAATTGCAATAATTTATTTAAACCCAAATTTAGCTTGTAATATAGAACAAATGAATTTCGACACTAAGCCCCACTACAAGACAGGTATGAGAGCTGGGTGATACCGTAAAACTCGCCTTCAGACCCTCATAATGTCCATTCATATTGAGATTTAGTGGTCAAAAATAAATGTCCAATTAATCAGATTACCACAAACTGAATGACACACAAAGTATAAAGGGGTCTTTGGGGTTGGTAATCTAGTATATGTAATATATAGAATTGAACATTTGAGTTCTGTGGGTTTGAACAATGCTGGTCCTGAAACACTATCAGTTTGTAACATTTAATTCAGGCTGACCAACGCAGTGTACTGACACACTGGTGATAACAGGTGTCACTACATACACCTGCAGCTCAGATACAGAACAGAACAGTGCTGAGTTCACAGCAATAACTCATGCACAAAGGCCCAATACAGGATAATAAATATCATATAACTGGATTCTAATTATTGAGGTATCCATGTGTAAACAGCTGGTAAAGGTGGAGCTGACTTTAATCATTGTATATACTGTATATTTAATTGTTGATCACCTGAACCTGACTAGTAAATGGAAATCCACTTGGTTTCATCACTGTATTGAGGTGACCCTCTACATGTAGTTCGGTTACTGTCACTGGAGATCAACGGGACACCGCTCACAGGACCGACGGTGTGACCGCATTACCGACCCCGGGGAACGGACTCTCACCTTGTGCTCCTCCTCGGCCAGGTGCTGCTGGAACCTGAACTTCACAGCCTGGTACAAACCCAAACCTCCACCGAGCATGAAGGCACAGCCCAGCACCCTGCCTCCTCCTCCCCGCAGGGAGGACAGCAGTTTGGAGCGGACCCCCGGCCCGCCGGTACCGTACGCCCTCCTGGACCCGTGTGCGCTCACATTCCCCAGCAGGTAGGAGACAGTACCGGGCCGGCGGGAGGCTGGAGACTCCAAAATATTCCAGCCGACCTTACAGAGGGTTCTGGCGCAGGCGGCCGCCATGTTGGTTTTACATAAAAGTCCCAAAATGCACCGCGGGGGGAGGATATCAGGGGTTTTATTGCCCTGAGATCGGCCTGCCAGGCTTACTGCTAGTCAGGCTGTGCGCTGGTGTCAGGACTGGTCTCAGGACTGGTGTCAGGACTGGGCTCAGGACTGGTGTCAGGACTGGGCAAATACAAGACCTAGGACTATGGAAAAAAAATAACTTTTATGGTCTTTGGGGACATGATGACAACCAGCCCTGACAACCAGTTTATGCCACTCATAAATACCTTTGTGACTTTTTCATTGATGATCCCATTCTATTATATAAAACATGAATAGATGTAAAAGTCCCACAGCTCATTTGACAGCACGTACCATTGTTTTGCATTTCCAGATCTCTTAAAGACTCTTCTATTCAGCTGGAACAGTCTTTATAGCCATTTCTCCTTCAGTCAGCAAAATATCACAGCTGGAGGTGATATATGTCCTTATTTATTTTTTTTATAAATTGTTTTATATATTATAAAAAAATGACAGGCTTATACTGTTCTGGTATGATACAAAACAAGCAACATAATTCATATATGTCACTAGATCATTGGTTCGAGAAACTGTGTCGCAAAATATAAATTATACTTATTATACTATATTATTACTATGACTTATTATTACATTTCACCTTAGATTGCATCGATGCTTTTTTCACTTTTCTCAGTAAAGGCTCATCTTATCTTCTCTCATTGTTCAACTGACTCAATGTCATTGTAAATGAGGGTCGCCACAATGATCTCTTTTAGTCTTTAAAATGTCAGAAAATAGGTAATAGGGCCTATGTGTTCAAATGTCTTGTTTTGTCCAACCAACAATTTTCTTTCATTCACTAATTGATTGACTCATTGTTTCAGTACCTCTGGTCCTTCTACCCAAGACACAAGTGGTATACCTTACAATGACAATACTTAGAGTTTTCGGTATTACTAAAGTTATCATATACTGTATCTGAGTTAAAAAAAACCCTGACACAGTCTTTAGAGATATTTTTTTATTATTAATCTGGGTGTGTGTTGTGTTGGCAGCAGCCAATCTGGCCCAGACTTTACTCTCCTCAAGCCTTCCAGTTCTTCCTGGGGGATCCGGAGGTGTGCTCATGCAGGCCAGATGGGATGTACAATCCTTCCAGTTTGTCCGAGTCCTACCCTGGGGTCTCTTCCCTGTTATACATGTCCAGAAAACTTCCAGAGGGAGGCATCCAGGAAGAATTTTATTCAGATGCCAAACCCACCACAACTAACTCCAACTACTATATCACACTTTATATTTTATTTAATATTTTAACACAGCAAAGTAACAAATATTACAATATCACACTTGACAACACTTAGAATAAATAATTGACAACTAAAATATCAGCATTATATGTAAAACACTTAATAGCTTCTTCAGGACTGAGAACCGCATCTCATGGTCTTATCCGTTGTCATGGAGATGTCTCAGTGGTAATAAAAAGCTAATAAGTGGACCTTGTGATAAGATTTTTGAGGGGTAAAACTATTATTTCTTAAGTCAATAATTCAAATCACAGTCTTCTTATCATTGTTCTGTTTAACGATATAACTATTAAATTAAATTAGATTTAGTAGTCTACTTTATTAATCCCTCATTGGGGAAATTCAATTGTATGAATTCATTTCAGCCGTTTTTTGTAAACAGTAAAAAGAGGTTTAAACAATTAGACGTATGATTAAAAAAAGGGTTATAAAAGGTTTTAGAAGTTTAAAGAATTAAAATAATGTAATAATTGAACCGGAGTCTGTTCAGGAGCGTCTCGCTCTCCTCTGCGCCGTACGCGTGGTGCGTTCAGGAGCGTCGTTCTTCAGAGACGCTCTCTTCATTCCTCCGACCACCGCAGCAGCAGCAGCAGCAGCGTCTTGTGTTGGTGAAAGCGGAGGATCCCCCTCAGCCAGCAGCAGCAGCAGCATCCATTTAAGCATCAGTGGGCAAATCACCACATCTTCCCCGGACTGACCACTCCTCACTGGGATGTCGTCGTCGAGGAACGGCGAGGATTTGAGAACCGATGCTCGAGAAAACCTCTCCGCTGTATTTTTTCGAGCGTGACTGGAAGGGAGCGGGGCGGCGATGGATGAAGGCAGGAGGAGACAAATAAAATTTTGATAATCGCTGGGTTTAGCTGGCTAACGCTAGCACGCTAACGTTAGCTAGCCCTCAGCTCGCAGTTGGTTGTTTTTTTTTACCCCCCCCCTCCCCCGTTCACTGACCGATGTGGCGTTTTCCTCCATGAATAAACACTCCTTAATACTCTTTTATATTGATGTCGAGACATGCTGGAGTCAGTGAGGACATTTCTCTCAAGGATAAAGCACCATAGCGGTTGACTAGCCTCCCAGCGTTAACGCTTCTTAGCTAACCCTCTTTTTTTTTTAAAATTCGTTAATTTTTTCTCTCTCGCTCATCCGTGAAGAACAAGATGCTGGCGGAGGAGGAGTGTGTCTAACGGTGAACCTGAACTCGCATGGACACACACTCCATGAAGGTCATGATACTGAGAGAATGATCATGCTGGAAAAACAGGTAAGGAAATTGAGCTTGTGAAAGTCAGTGGGTTTCACGTTTAAATACACACCTGAGCTCATTTGCATATGAGTATTGAGGCGATAATTACACCTCTTTAGCAGCGTGTATGTGATCAGACCGAGGTGCTTTAAGGTGGGTTTGTGCAGTAAATCCTCAGGTGATCAATACCTTTTCTAATGATGACCCTGCTGTACATATTTCCCCTCATCATAACCTTCCTCCCAGCTCTCTCTCTCTCTCTCTCCGCCTCTGCCCTGCTTAAAGCCAACCTCTCTCTCCCACTGTCTCTCAAGCTGCTGTCAGGTTTTTAGAAACGCGCCCATGTGAAGGCATTTCAGCTGTGGAGTTTGGCATTGGACGGATTTTTTTGTTTTCTTTTGTCTTTGGGAGTGTCACACATTAAACATTAGGCCAAAATAGCAACAGAATAACAGTGTCATAAATGAGTTTTTTTATGGTCTGTTGTTATTATAAGGCTGCAACTGCCAGTAAATTATTTAAATTCGTCTGCCCAGCATCTTTATGATTTATTAGTTAATTGTTTTCGTCTATTAAACACTAATTAATGCCCATCACAAGTTACCAGAGCCCAAGGTGACACCTTCAGTATCATTGTTCTCTTTGACCAATTGTCCCAAAATCAAAGATATTCAGTATCCAGTCGTAAAACAGAGAAATCCTCACATTGAGAAGCTTGAACCAAGAATATTTGACTTATTGCCTTTCTAAATTGAAAGGTTACAGTCGTAGTCTAAATTATATTTACTGTAGATTTCTGTACTGTAATGCTTCATATGTTTGTTTTTAAAAACATTTGTGACAAACTTTATTTAATCCTGAGTGGATTTGGTTGTACTTACAGCAGCACAGTCAAGAGGTCAGTTCAGTTAGAAACCAGTCTGTGCAAGAAGAAAACTGATTTGTGTTGAAACGATGAGTGGACTGATTAAATAATCGATCAGAAAAAAATGATGACAGTTCCTGTTAGTGCTGCTGAAACTAGCAATTATTTCATCATCATCTCTTCTTCTTTTTTTTTTTTTTTTTTTTTACAATTGAAGGGCCAGTGTGTAGGGTTTTATGTCATAGTGGTGTAGTTGCAAATTGAAACTCCCTCGCTTCATCCAAGTGCGAGAGAGAAACTATGGTAGCCACAAAACGCAAAAACACATGTACGGCGCGACCCGCTCAGAGTTACTGCTGAAATATGGCAGTTCAACATGGCAACCTATCAACAAAGGGAACAGGTCCCCTCACTGAGGCTGCCATTTTGAACTGCCGTGTTTCTACAGTAGCCCACAGTGGACAAACCAAATACTGGTTCTAGAGAGGAAAGTTTTCTGTAAGGTTCTCTGCCACTACAGTTCCTCCTTCACACAATGAAAATACACACGCAATCTCCCTGCGAGATAGCACTAAATCAGACAGACTGGTCCTTTAATCGATTGACAGAGAATGAATCAACAGTTTGTACAGAGTGAGAATCTCTCATATCATTAGAAACTGACTCCCTTTGGGTGTTTGAACACTTTGCCTCTGGGAACTTGCAAACAGTATTTGTCCTTTTTCCCGGACATTTTAAAAACTAAACAATTAATTCTTTAATTGTGAAAAAGCAACCAATGACTAAGAATATGGTGTCGTTTTCTAAAAATAAACCTACTGGTGTTTGTTGCATCCTCAGGGCGTTCAGACTCATTAGCCTCAGTATTATTCTCAGCTGCAGACCGGAAACCCTCGAGGAAATATCCTTCAGTCAGTGGAGCTCATAACCTCTTCTGTCAAAGAACGGAGCACGGGGGGGTTGGAGGGGGGGTTACTTCCTCTTGTTTGCCCCCACAGCTGCATCAGTGACCATAAACAAAAGCCGACACATTAATAATATATCACAGCTTCAGAGATGTGAGGTGTGTCCGCTCAGGACGAGGAGCAGAGGAGATGCTGGAGGAGATTTAGGAAGATGATTCTTGTGTTGATGTCATCCCCCAGGGAACGGCTTAGTCAAATAATCCATTAGTCACTCAGCAGGAAATGAATCAATTTCTATTAATTGTTCAATATTGATTGATTCTTTGTGTGTAGGAGTTTCTACCCCGCCAGTCCAAAGACATGCGGGTCAAGTGAACTGGAAACTCCGAAGGTCCTGTAGGTGTGAATGTGTTTGTGTGTCAGTATGTGTGTTAGCTCAGTGACAGATGACCCATATGTCCGAGGTATGCTCTGCATCTTGCCCAATGCATGCTGGGATACGCTGCTGCCTCCAGTGACCCTGAACAGAATAAGTCGGTGTAGAAAATGGATGGATGGATGGATCATTTATTCAGGGAAAATAGAAGAAATCTTTGGTTTTAATAATTCCTAAATCATTTTGAGGTTTTCGGCTACATACGAGAATATGGAAGTTGTTTTTATTACACTTCATATTTACTTAATATTAGACTATATAGTTATCCTTTATTTGCCTTACCAGTCTTTACTTATTGTAATTTTCCTCTGCTTCTGTCTCCTCTCTGTACAACATCCTCCTGAGGCTTCTCCCTTTTTTCTCTTTAAAGGTTTTTTTTTTGTAGAGTTTTTCCTGTTCTGGTTCAAGGACAAAGGGTGTTAAACAGCTTGTAAAGCACATTTGAGGCAAATTTTAGATTTTTCTGGTTATCAAAGTTAACCTGGCATCATTTTGGGCTCTGCTAAGGCCCCAAGTGTGTTGTGTTCTGCATCACCTGAACAATCTCAATGCAACGCGAGCTCAACCTGCGGACTGACCTTTGCAGCTAGGGTACACTATAGCAATATAATAACAAGAGAAAGCTGATCCTTTCCTTTTGAATTCACCTCCACCCATGTCCGTGTGCTTTGGCATATTTTTGACAATTTTGTCACCTCTTCATTCACATGGGAATGCAACTGAAAATATATATCGACTGTGGTCATGGAAACGCTCTGATCAGCTCTATAGTGCACCATTGAGGACTGAGGTTTGTTGCCTAACCCTCGCCTACCTGGCTTCGTCATTTGCGTTTGCGTACTTGCTTCTACTTACTTGTTTGGGGCCTGAGACTTATGAGAGGCACTTCTCCCTTGTTAACATTGAAATTGTTTTATGTAAATATTTTTTACATACCTGTAGAATTATACCTCTGGTTGGGCTGGATGTAATGGTTGAAATCATCATCATTACTGTAATGCGGCTATAATATAATAATATAATATCTCAATATGGCAAACATGCAAATATATGCATGGAAAAACAATCTGATGATAACTGATGTTCAAAGCAATGACCCCTGTGTGTGTGTTGTACTGTAAAGCATTACACAGGGCCAAATTCTTTATGTCAAACAAATCTTTATTTTTAGGTTAAGTTGTTAAATAAACAGCTTGGTCTGAATCAATTATTTGGACTACATGGCGTAATAAGATTATATTATCACAATATAGTTTTGCTCAAATTTGTATTACTCTCGTAAATAAGTCAGAAAATATAATTGTAATTATAATATTTGTGTATGAGAACTATGACTCTTTCCCCTTATCCTATTAATCATCTGGTAACCACTCAGATTTATCTTGTGGGCCCTTCAGGAGGTTTCTGAAACCACTGTTATAGATTCCTCTGAGGATATTATATATATGATTTATGGCCTGTAGGGAAGAGGGGATGTTTTTCAAGCTCGTCACACGTCTGCTGGGCTGAAATCAGACATTTTGAAGCTAAAAACATTCAAGCAGTAGTTTTACAGTGAAGTTTTGATACAAAAATTAAATATTTATATAATATATAATAATATATTATTTTGTGATAAACCAAGATTCATCACACATTAAGAATCGATGTCAAAGTTCACCGCTGAGCTTTCTCTGAGGTGAGCAGGATGAGAGCGGTTGCTTCAGGATGTGAGGCTTCCCACTGCCTCTGTTTAAAGGGCCTATTTAACCCTCAATACACACACACACACACACAGACTAGCTCTCAAACACATCACCCGGCTTTCACTGTAAACAACCTTTTCTTATTCTTCTTTTCTTCCCTCCATGTAAATCCTGTCTCCCCTCGCTGGTATTATTGATGTTTATCCTCTTTTGAAACATTTATTTGCCCTTTTCCCACTATTGTAGGAATTGTAGATAAAGCTGTAAGCTTTTCTGCTGCCGCCACGGCGCTCCATTTTCTGCACAGCGCTCCAGAAACCACTCTGTTCTTGTAGCTTGACTTCACTCCAAGCATATCTGACTTCTTTGTCTGATGGAATGTGACAAGAATCAGACATTTTTTTCTCCAGTTTTTAGTCCCGAGGGTTTTTCTTTTCCTTTTTTTTTCTTCAGAAGCATTAGTTATGTTTGTGTGTGTGTATGTGGAAAAGGGCCTGTCCTTGAAATCTCTTGTCAGAAGCATTTTTGCACGGTGGAGGAGTGCATGAACAGTATTGCAAAAAGCAGGAGCGGTGTAACATTTCGACTTGTTGCAGAGTGTGTCCAAGTATATCTCTGTCACACTGTCTTACTCTGTTAGTTCAGCCAGCAAACGGCTCTAATTTGTTTTTCAAATATGCACTTTAAGGCCGACTGTCCACGTTTGTAATTTCCAAGTTACCGGATCAGATTTGTGTGTGTAGACACTGTAATCATTTGCAGGCGTGCTCATGCTGACTGAAGGCAAGTTTTCCATCCAGAGACTCTGCAGGCCAGAAACATGAAGTCTGGCTGCTGCTCAGTCTGAATTTTTTCAATTTTTTCCCCATTTTCAAGGTGTTTTTCCCTCTTCAGGATACAAAACAGCCTGTCTGTGCGAGAAGAGGCATGACATGTCTTCATCTGTCTGTCCTCTCTAATCTGACACATGAGGTGTGATTAAAAAGAACACTTGACATCTGATCAGAGGTGACTCACCTGTAGATGAATCACATTTTATTTTCAAGATCAGGTCAAATCTGATGTAAAAACATTGGCTTTCGTGATTTTTAGACTTGAAGAAAACATATCCTACGTGTGTGACATTT